GAGTTCACTTTCAAGGAATTCTTTCTTTTCATAAGTCAGGCGTTCTCATTCCCATTTTAAGACTGCAAACTGAGGGGCACCTGGGTGGCTCAGTCTGGCCCACTCTTGATTTCCGCTCGGATCATGATCTCAGGGTGCATGAGTTCAAGCCCCACATGGGCTCTGTGCTGACAGCATAGAACCTGCTTGGGATTTTCTCTCTGACTCTTTCCTGCTCTCTTTCTCTCTCAAAATAAATAAATAAATAACACCCCCCCCCCCCCAAAAAAAAGTTGGTAAACTGAGACTTACCAGGGTCATACGATCAGGACTCAAAAGTTAGGTCTCCCTTTTTCAACAAGCCCACCCTAACGGCACTTCTCTTGGTATCTGACCGTTGTTAATCAGAACACTATCTTCCCCGGGCTTCCTACCATTTGCCAAACACATGCCCCCACCCCCTCACTCTCTGCCCTGGTGGACACATGACACTGTTTAATTTGGAGTTGAACCTGTCATCTTGGTGTCAGTTCATGGCTAATAGCTGCCTTGTAACTGTAACAGGTGCACCAGATCTCCAGCAGGTGCAGACAAGTCACCAAGAAGCCCACTTTGCGCCTGCATGCTGGAACCATCCCTAGGTATAAACCCGACTACGTGTAGTGTCAGGAGAGGCCCTTTTATCAGGAGTGTTACAAATATATTTTTTTTAACCGACTGTTTGTTTCACACGTTGCAAAAATGAGAGTTACTATCAATAGTTCTCCTACGGGACTAATCCATTATTCTCCTAAACCCAAGATCTATTAACACAGCAGTACAACCAGAACCTGAAATACTGTTATTTTGTAAGGAGAAAACATTCTGGAAGCAAGGATTTAAGTGTCAGACAATAACATTTACTCCAAATTCTAATTTAATCACTTTTAATCTGTTAAATGTGGAATTTTAAAAGATCACTATATTTTTCTACAAAGAGGACTTCCATTTAGAAGTGGGATTTTGTGACTTTCCTTTCTTGTCTATTCCTACAGCTGTCCCCTCTCTTTCCCTCACTCCCGGTTCCATGCTACTTTAAACAAATGCTTTCATTTCTGGCATTCTGTTCAGAATGACACCAGCACAAATCCCTCCCATCTCCTTCAATCTGGACTCCACTCACCCAGACTGACCCATCTCAGGATAACGGAGTCTGCCCAACGTCCAAGGTCAAGTACTTGGGTACATGCATAGGGATGTGAAGGCACAAGAATAATATGGCATACGATGGGATTGGCCAAGGCACAAACCCAAGTCCTGCCACAAACCAGCCACTGTCCCCAAGAGGCCTATGGGGAAAAGGGGTGCACAGAGAACAAAGCAAGGCAGAGCAGCACTTCATTGTTGGCTGGGATTGCCCTCAGGCTCTGAGCAGAACTCCAGCAAGACTGGCTGGGCTGTGAGCTCCCTAGTAGAGCTAGCTAAGCATGAGGGCCTTGAATGTTCACTTCTGGGCCCAAATCTGAGCCTCCCACAAAAGCCAGCTACCACCATAACACACAAGATGAGAGAGCAAGCAAAAATGGGGGTGGTGGACCCAATGCCCAGAAAGGAGTAAGTGTAGGCTTCCTTACCTCCTCAGACCCTCTCCAACCAAGGGAAGGAAAGTGTGCTCAAGGGAAAGAACAAGGACAAATGAATGGACAGACAGACAACAGAATAAGACCACAATGAAAAAAGGCCAGTCAATGAGGCCTTTGTCTCTCAGGGGTGCAGGCCTCAGTGCAAATCATCTCTCAGCACAATCATCTCTTCTAGGAGAACTTTCATCTATAAGGGCAAACGGGACACGGGTAGGTCCATCTTTTACTCCTCAAGTAGCAGTGTGAGGAGACAGGAGAGAAAGAAGGTTCCTTGGAGGGAACAGTGTGCAGACCCTTAGAGTTTTTGCCATATGAAGGGGACAAAGAAAGGCCCATTCAAGGTTGTACGGGCCTTCTAGTGGCCTAAAAGCTCCATACACCTCCCCTCAACCTTCCACACACACTCTCACACCCTGCTCTGGGTGCGGTGCTGGTGAAGTGTCCACACTTCTTATGCCCACATTTGGGGGTCAACTGTAGAGGCACAAGAGCTGAGAGGGACCTCAGACTCATTCTCCTAGAGGGCCATGTTGCTTAGCTGCCTGTATTTCTTTCTTTCTTTCTTTTCTTTTTAATGTCTAATTTTGAGAGAGAAAGAGACAGAGCGTGAGTGGGGGAGGGGCAGAGAGAGAGGGAGACACAGAATCCAAAGCAGGCTCCAGGCTCGGGCGGCGGGGGGCGGGGGGGGGGGGGTCAGCTCAGAGCCCGACGCAGGGCTCAAATCCACGAACTGTGAGATCATGACCTGTGCTGCAGCTGGGCGCTTAATGGACTGAGCCACCCAAGCACCCCAGCTGCCTACATTTCTAAACCTCAAGTTTCGACTATACATGTGCCCCAAAGGCTAAATGAACACAAAGAACCAGGAAGAAGCTCAGCCATCTGCCTTCTGTCTTCCTTCTTCCCTGACATACTCTTCAAGCAAAACCAAGGCACTGAGTGACACTTGGGAGGAGACAGCAAGCATGATGCTAAGCCCAGGCTCTAGACTCAGACCACATGGGTTCAAACCCTGACTCTGCCACTTACTAGCTGGTGACCTTCAGCAAGTCAGTCGGGCCATCAGAGTCTTGGATTCCTCATCTACAAAACAGAGGGAACAATAGTAGCAACCTCAGATCAGGGTGAAGATCAGATGAGACCAATCATGTAAAATATTGAGCACAGTCCTGGGTGCACAGTGAGCACAGAGTAAAATGCTGGCTGCCATGATGATGATGATGATGATGATGATGATATGATATCATTATTACTACCAGTAATAATATTTACCATTATCATGATTACTCCAGCTTTACTCTAGTCTAGTCTACATGGCTTCCAGAAGGCAATGAAAGGTCAGCCTCCCTGCTTCTTGCTCCCTTTGCTTCTTCACAGTTGATGACCCTTGTCTACCAAGATGAATTCAAAGTCCTTCCTCGTACTGAGAAAAACTCACAAGGTGCTTTGGGGGCAACGCTAAAAGACCCGGGCACTGCTCACTTCAAAGACCACAGATTGTTAATGGGCTGACTTCCCTGACAGTTGTTCTCGTGAAAGGACATAACCCCAGAGTTCCTGACCAGCCACTCAAACCAAATGCCCAGCTCACTTCTTTCCCTCCCTATCCCGACTGCATGTTATGAATTTCTTTAAAGGAGGAAAAAAAAAAACACAAAAAACACACAGATTTGCTAAGCCTTCTTCTGGTTCACTTACTCACACTCCTACCTCCAGTGAGTATGCTGCTAGTTGTTATAGAGTTTAAGAAACGCTATAAGCAGAATTGTTAAAAATAGTAACAGAACAGAAATTTATACCTTAAACAAATCATTCCAACAGATGGGACTTAAAGTATTTATTATTATCCCTCTCTGGTCTGGGACTTTTCAAACACGGCATTTGCAGCCAGCCAGACTGGGAGCTATTTGATACTACCTCTCTGACCAATTACATACTAATTAAAAGACCTTGGTGTGGGCTGGAGGTAGCAGCTTTGCATATGGACTTTAATTACTGGGCTCTAGTTTTGCCAAGAAAACACAAAGGGCTTTTCTGGCTGGATGCTGAGGCTTAGAATGAACATATGGCCTGCGTGGGAGGGGAGGGTTAAGAGTGTAATCCTAAACAGGAAGTGGAGTATTTTCCCCCTGTAATCTCCTGAAAGTAACTATGTACCAGGGTTATACAAAATCCTTGGTCAGCCCAAGGAACAAAGGGCAACCTGAGGGGGCAGTGAGCTGCCACCCTCGACATGTCACATTCAATCCCAGGGCCATCTGTGGATTGGAATTCTTTCTTGCCCCCGACCCCCACCCCCATGGCCTTTTCTTGTTGGATTTTTTGGATCAGAACCTCAGGTCTCTTCCTAGGTTTCACTGAGCCTGGGGTAGCCCAGTATTAATTTTTGGCTACCCAGAATGCATTCCCCCATCTCCCGGTTACGCTGTCCCCAGCTCCCCAGACCACAAAGCTCTGGCAGGGAGGAGCATGTGGCCCATTCCTAACCAATCAGCACAATTTAATCCCTTTGGCCACAATGTTTGGTTCTAGGATGGGCACTAGACCTAAACCAGTGCAATCAGCATGATTTCCAGGATGTGTATGGGAACTCAGTTGGGTAGACATGTTCCCTACCCAGGTTTGGGACTGAAAGGTGATGAGTCTGAAGTTGTGGCAGTCATCGTGATCCCACGGGGAAGAATAGATGTGAAAGTGGAGTCAATCCGGGGAAAGCAGAACCGATAAAAAGAGGGAAATCGCAACACTGTGATGGCATTTGAGGTCCTGAATTAAGCCACTCATGATTTCTCAGTATTGTGAGCCAATAAATTACTTTTATGTTTAAGTTGCCTCTGGTTACACTTTCTATCAACCTGTAACTGAAATAATCCTATCTAATAGAAATAAGATGGAGGGGCAGAAAGTAAAAACAACAACTGTCCAACCCTATAGGGATCCAGCCTGCAAAGCACACACTTGCTACAGACACCATGGAGCCCCAGGGATCGTGGCCCAGAATCAAAGAATTCTAGAGCTAGAAGAGACCTTGTGGACAAAGCATTCTGTTCAACCACCTTTGCTGACTTTTTCTTTTTTTTTAATATTTATTTATTTTTGAGAGAGACAGAGACAGAGCTTGAGTGGAGTAGGGGCAGAGCAAGAGGGAGACACAGAATTCGAAGCAGGCTCGGGGCTCCAAGCCGTCAGCACAGAGCCCAATGCGGGGCTCGAACCCACAGACGGTGAGATCATGACCTGAGCCGAAGTCGGATGCCCAACCGACTGAGCCACCCAGGTGCCCCGCTGACTTTCTTTTTCTAAACAGGTATGTGTCTGAAAACTTAGGGAAGAAAGACGTCACACAGTAAACAAGAGACAAACTCTTCTTCCCATTGGTGTCTCAATGTCATGTATGTAACTGTTCGATAAAACCCTTCTGAATGAATATTATGTATCCAGTCACCAATAACGATTCCTTTTGTGTGGCAAATATCTCTTGCATTAAATTTGCTGATGGATTATGCTCACTTCCTACAATAATCACAGTCTCAATCTCTCTCTATTTTTCTCTCCTTTCTTCTCTCCTTTTTTGCCTTTCACTTCTTCTTCCCTGTTCCCTGTTCTGCCCTTTCAGTTGCTCAACACCTTTTTCTTACTTGTCACTTCAAACCTACATTGCCTACAGGCACTCAATAACCCACAGATCATTGGCTTCTCCATCCTTGAACTTCTACCTCAAACCATGAGTTATCAACCAACCCTCACCCATCCACCACCTTCACTCACAAGCCCATCAGCCGCGTTTAAAAACAGCTACCGATTTTTACACCCTGCCCCCAGAACACACGCACACACGCCAACTAATATTGACTCTCCACAAATGAGTTATCAACATCTTTACCACTATCAAGAGATGTTTCTTCCCAGAATCATATCTCAACAGCCCCCTGAAATATTTTTAAATGGTTCAGGATGATGGTGTTAAATAAGTCTGATTGTCTACTTGCTGTCAGCTCCTTATAGGACATGGTCAGTTATTTAAACTCCTGCAACTAAATTCTCCCATTTCTATGACAGATTAATGCCATTTGCCAGTGTTGTAATGGTAGCCAAGTTCTGGCAACACACAGATGGAAAGCTTCACGTAAGCGTTACACAAGGTTATTACTCTCTGGAACCCAGTATACCACTGGCAGCACTCAAGAATTACAATTATTATTTTTATACTCCTTTTAGAGTGTCTCAGGAACTTACAGGTCTTTAGAGGAAAAGCTGTGGGATTCTGGATGAGATTCACAAACACATTTGCTCTCTAGCCTGAGTGAAACCTTTTATTAGACCTCTGGACTGGGAAGGCAGAAAGTTAATTCAGGAGTATAAACTAAACAGGTGATACCTTGAATTTATGCAGCCTCCTGTTTGCAACACCCTGCAACTGCTCACACGTGTCATTTCATCATCAGTGTCTTCTACTGGAAGTTTTCCTGGGACAAGAAATGCAAATAAAAAAAGGACTTAAAGACATTTACTTTATGGATACAAAGTCTAGGCTTTTGCTCTTATTACCAGTGTTAACATAACTCTATTTAGATAATTTCCTTACAAATCTTTCTTTTAATATCCAGCTTCTGAACTGTGTCCCCCCCCACTGTGGGGGACTAGAAACCTTTGCCAGCCTGACTTCTTGAGTCCACTGAGGGACAAATCTGCATGCCTTCTCACATGTCCTCAACTGCTTCCTTCTTGCTTTCTTTCCAAGTCAGCATCCCACCCACCCCGGTTGCCACTCTCATACCAGAAGTATGGGGACTGGCTTCCAGAGAAGTCACCAAAGGGCCAATCCTGAAAGGCACAATCCTGAAAGGCAGCGAACTGAGCTCCCGCTGGAGTGAATTTTCCCAGTGGAAAACAGGTGTCAGGGCAGCGTGGGGCGAAAGCCAGATTCCCCCATTTCCTTCACCCTCCAACTATGCTGAGGTGTTATCCCTCCATGCAAACCGTGTGGAGCAAACCCACACGTGGAGGGATCTGCTTGATTCTTCATGGCTTATTCTGAAATGGTAGCCAACACAAAAACATCAACGTACCCTATTACAGCTTTCCTACATCACTGTCACCATCTCGGGATTTCACCTCCCTGATAAAGTATTAGTACCACAGCCCTTGCCTCAGCCCCAGCTTTCTGGAGGGCCGGGCTGAGATGTTTGTTTTCTCTAATCCAGCATTTCCCAAGGGGTATCTGCTATAAAGCATATTTCTGGCCCACCCCAGAAATTCACATTCAGTAGGTGTGGGTATACCCTAGGAATCTGCAGTATTAAGCCCTTAGTGGGTCTCAAACACTAAAATGTGATGGCCACTGGTCCAAGTTCCTCCGGTGCTCCGCATTTCTGCTCATAGGACTTTATGGTCACTAAAGTTCAAAGCCCTTGCGTTCTTTCCCTTTCTTCCACATACTCACTGAGTCGCATGTTATCCATCAGTGCAATATCCCTTGTATCTGGATTTTTTTTTTTTTCTGGTTGAAGTACAGTTGACACACAGTGTTACGTTAGTTTTAGGTATACAATATAGCGATGTGACACCTCTACGTGTTATGCTAGGCTCGCTACAAGTGTAGCTACTATCTGTCACCCACAACACCATTAGAGCACTCACAGCTTACTCCCTACGCTGTACCTTTCAGCCCCATGACTTATTCATTCCCTAACTGGCAGCATGTACCTCCTTCCACTCCCCATCACCCATTTTGCCCATCCTCCAACCCCCTCCCCTCTCCCCTTTGGCAATTACCAATTTGTCCTCTGCTCCTGTCCATCTTGTCAAGGTGTATGGGGAACACGAACTGTCGCACTTGCCCTCTGTCCAGGACGGAGTTCCGTTTGGCAGAATTCTAGAGTTGGTCCCTTTATATTCTAGTGGCCCTTTTCAAACCTAGGCTTTTTCTCTGTGCCCCAGGGCCAACAAACCGCTCTGGTCCCTCAGCACTATCCTTCATAGCCTGGGGTGTAGAGTTCCCTTTATTACCAAGTCTCTGCCTCTCTTGCTGTTCTCCTCTGTGTGGTCTATCTTCTGTTCTGCAGAAGCGACTCAGTCAGCTACCACTTCTCCTTCGGGAGGAATTGTTCTACAGACAGGTGTAGATTTGGTGTGTCCCTGGACACGCAGGGTCTTCCTATGTTGCCATCTCGGACTGGAACTCTTCTCTTGTTCTATCCCACTCTCCTCCCCCCAATTTGGGCTCATCCCTTCTCTCCTGGAATGTTCATTAAAGCCTCCTCTATGTTCTCTCCACTCATCTTCTCCCAAATGCGGGGCTAAAATGGGAGATCAGGCTGCATATTTCACAGAGCACGTAGAACAGTGCAATATAGGAAGTGGACACTCAAATTCTGTCAGACATATTTAGAGTCCCCCACGTGGTGGGTCTTCACCGAGACAGAATCAGGCCCCTGCTGGGGCAGCGCTCCTGCCTGCATGTGGTGTTTAATCGTTCCATCACTGCTACACTCACTTGCTGATGGCAACTTGCCCTGTGAAGACCACGTGAGCAAGGGCCAGTCCATCTAGTTCCACGTAATCCCCCATCTAATGGGGCACAACGTTCATAGTGGGTGCTTTACCCAGGCTAGTGATAGTTGGGGTAACAAGAATGTAAAATCCACTTTCTTTTCCTCCCTTTCAATCCACTCATACTCATGTTACTCAATTCCCACTCCTAACTTGATAAACACTTCGACCATAGCTGAAGCACTCTCTTCTGCTCCATCTGACATGACTTGGGCCAAAATCCATCTGACTGCACCTGTGTTCTATTTATTTCCCTCTTCACGTGTCTATTCTTTCTGACTTGACAAAGGGAAGCAAAAACGTCCTTATCGTAAGGACACAAACCGTATTGCCCAACTGGTACGATTACGCCTAATACTTGTTAAGCATTTACCACGAACTAAAGCCTCTTCCAGGCATTTCCTCATTTAGTCCTTTCAACAGCCCTATTATGTAGGTACTATTATTTTACCCACCTTTCCGGGTGAGGAAACCGAGGCTTAGAGAGATTGTAACTTGCCTAGAGGAAGTGCTAGAGCTCGCCTGATCACAAGATCTAGGCTCTTAACCCGTCTGGTAGCTTCTTCTTGTACCGCCAGATGATACATGGTGATTTTCCCCAGTGCAGCTCCCAGGTATGACCACCTCAGGCTGAACAACTGTCCCCAAGTCCAACTTCAGGGCTGATGCATGTCGACCCACCCTGACAGCAGGTCACCAGCTTCACAGTCCTTGTCCTTGAGCAACCCTTCTATTTCTGCCACTCTTACTTTGCAGTCTCATTTGCCACATGGTTCTCCCACATCAAGCAGACGTTTCGTTTCTGAATAACACACTCTTCATTTGGCTTGCCTTATAAGCATTCTTGCCACATCAAGCCAGAAGTTCATTTCCCCCCAATATTTCTTCCACAAACGTCATCCACTCCATCCCCCTAAAACCCTGCATCCTAGTCTTTTATCCCAGCATCTGAACCACTACAGAAACGTGTCTCAGAGCCATCCTCAGTGACTCACAATCCCCACGACAGATTCTCTGTGGGCACTTGACAGTTTCTCCTTTGAAATCGCTTTCCAAAGTCTAATTAGCCCTCAGTCTCCCAGGGAACTGTTCTCTCTTCTCTGTCACCCTGTGTGGACTCTCTATTTTCTTCTCTTGCATCTGTCTCTGTCCTCTGAGCCTTTAAAACTGACCAAGAGCTGAGCTGAGGGATGAGGTCGATTAGGTGGCTTTAGCATGCCAATGTTTCATCATGGCACAGGGCTAGCCCCACATTTTTAACAGGCTGAGGCATCTCCCAATGGCACTGTTCCCCTTCTTGAACACTTAGGTGATGGCAGCTGTCACTCACCTCAAACTTAATTTAACTCTTTAATTTTAAGCTTGTCTTTCCAGCTACCTCACTCTCCCCAAGCCATCTTGCTCTCCCCCGGCAGGCACATCTGGAACCATTCACAAAGTGGTGGTTGAAATTTCCACTCATTCAAATGGAATGCTAGGGATGGAAGCCACTGGGAGGCCCTCAGCTTCCCCCAGGTCCCAGGGCAAGTAGTACTACTCTAAGAAATGCATGAGTCGATCAACATCTTACAGCATGCCCACCGGGGGCAGAACCCTGAACCAGGAGCACTGGAGCAGCCCAGCTCTGTACGTGGTGGCCCTGAGGCACGTAAAGACATCATGGACAGTGCTAGGGACCGAATATTGGTCCCCCAACATCCATACGTTGAAGCTCTATCCCAGTGTGACTTTATCTGGAGACAGGGTCTTTAGGAGGGAAGAAAGGTGAGGTGAGACCCTAAGAGTGGGGTCCTGATCCAACAGGACTATGGCCTTGTGAGAAGAGAAAGAGAACTCCCAATCTCTTCTCTCCCCACCATGTGAGGACACAACCAGAAGGTGGTATCTGTAAGCCAGGAGGAGAGCTCCCACCAGAAACCCATCATGCTAGCACCTTGGTTTAAAATGCCCAGCCTTCAGAACTGTAAAAAACAAATTTCTGTCGTTTAAGCCACCCACCCTGCGGCGTTGTGCTGTGTTGTGGCAGGCTGAACTGGTTAACACAGATAGCCAGCTCTTATGTCCACATCCAGTTGATGTAGTTCAAGGGGAAACCAAGAATCCAGAGCCTTTGGTCCCCTCATCTGCCTAGCCCCTCTGACCAGGAAGGGTTCAGAAATCAGGGAGGGGAGCAAGGAAACCAGGGTGAAACACATGTGAAAATGGATTCATTCATCCATCTATGCACCAATAAGCACTTCTGGAATACCTATTGTATGCAATTATAAGTACTTTCAAACACAATATATTCACATTTATTTATAAATGCATGGAAGAAATATCTGGAAAGATATGCAATAAATGCATAAGGGTCACCTGTGGGGTAGAGAATAGGAGTAGGGAAGGGAGAAAAGGGATGAGGATGATGAAGAGGGGCTTTTAATGATGTAAAACTGTTTTAATGTGTTCACCTATATAAGAAAAACACACATACTTATGAATATCTGCTAAAAAAGGAAGAAAGGCAGTACGCAAGGCCCACTGGATCCAGCTTTCCTGTTCAGCAGGCAATCCTACTCCCAGGCCTTTATTTCTGGGACCTGGGAATGTAATCATTTTGAAGTCACCAAGGGCTTGTCTGTCCTATTAAAAGCTGTATCCCCAGTACCTTGCAAGGTGCCTGGCACGAAGTAAATTCTCATTTACTCGTTGGTGGCTTGGATGCATGAGTGAATAAATGGGGGAAGGGGGCCCAGAGTCTAACAGAAAAGTTCTGTGGGAACCTTCTGTGGGAAGGTCTAACCCAGGCCAGGAGATTTAGTTGAAGCCACAGGAAACAAATCTGAGAGAGTTTCTGCATAATAAGGCCTAAGTGTGGGGCAAATGGGAAATCTGTATGACTCACAGAGTTAAGATGGTTCAAAGGAGTCTGGAT